CTCAATGTCATTACCGGCGTGCCCCTTGACGTTGGGTCACTGGAGGGTGAAGATGAGATCAATGATATCTACGTCGTCCCAGTTTGTTTTCTGAGTTGCTTTGTATTTTGCGGTGTGTGGAATGGCACGGTTTGGCACCACCCAGGTTCGTGAACGCAGCAATCGAAGGTGCCAGTGCTGACAAAGACATTGCCACCTTGAAGCAGGCGCAAAACCGGGTGATGCATGTCGCTTCCTTACGGCAGCTTCCCTGCAGGGTCGATTCAGGGGACGGGGGTCGGGAGGAATGGTCGGAATCCGGGCTCCGGCCCACGGAGCCCGTGTCCTTGCCGGAGGCCTTCGGTGGGGACTGACCCCCTTGTAATTTACAGTGTATTCTGCGCGATTCTGCGCGTGGTGTTCAAAAACATCGTGTTTTACAGGGTTTCGGGCCCTTCGGCCGCCATGGATTTTATCTTGGCGACGTTAAAAAAACATCGGTTTTACGCGGTTTTGGCCTCGGAGAGGGAGTCCGGGACGGAGAAAAGTCGCATCTTAGGAGTATGTTAACATAAATTGCGCAAAGTACCCTCAACATAGCTCCAACATAGGCCCAGCATAGCCCCACGATGGGCCAACATAGCCCCAAGATGGGCCAACATAGGCACGGGTCCAAGATAAGCCAACATAGGCCCTAGATAGGTTCAATATGGGCCCAAGATTGCCCAACATAGGCCTTAGATGGGACAACAAAGGTCAACATCACCGAACAAAGTCGGATTCAGAAACTGCACTGTATTCAGAAACTAGTCTTCAGAAACTATTTCGTTGTATTCGGAAACTATTTCGTTGTATTCAGAAACTCTTGTATTCAGAAACTATTTCGTCGTATTCAGAAACTCTTTTCGTCGTATTCAGAAACTATTTCGTTGTATTCAGAAACTCTTGTATTCAGAAACTATTTCGTCGTATTCAGAAACTCTTTTCGTCGTATTCAGAAACTATTTTGTCGTATTCAGAAACTATTTCGTCGTATTCAGAAACTATTTTCGTCGTATTCAGAAACTATTTTCGTCGTATTCAGAAACTATTTTCGTCGTATTCAGAAACTATTTTCGTTGTATTCAGAAACTTCTATTCCCGAACTAGGGGGCAATGTGAACAATCGCACGCGTGGACAGTTGATGCGTTCTCTTGCATTCAGGGTGGGGTGGGGGGTTGGGCTGGGGCAGTAAGCATCAGTAAGCTTCCGTAGATGGTTGCGCGGACCAATGCTTTCGTGGGTT